GTGATATCTTGAACACTGAGGAAGTTATGAACAAAATTAGAAAAACAACAAGGTGAAATGATCACACTGTTTCTGCTGTGAACTGCAGCAAGAAAACATGAGCTGATTTCACCTGAACAAACATCAATAACTTCCCTCAGACTGCAGATAATCACATGACTTAGGTGTTATTTTGTTTGGTTTGAAATGTTCTTTTGGAATCTGCTGTCAGATGTAATATTGGTGAAGGATTAAACATTTATCCACATCCCTACAATGGAAGGCAGATGTCAGGATAATTAGGGCTGTTGTAGATTAGTATAAAAACACCACGTATTCATTAAATCCTATTACAGAGTATTCTGGTCACTGAGCTCACTGAGGTGTTTATAAAAAGACAGATGGAAACTACTGAACACATGACGTCACTGGAAAATTTTGTTTGGCCGAATTCAAAAGCTGCTTCATACAAACTGGGTAGATACTTTCAATAAAGCGACAACGCTGACAAAAATATGTATATCAAAATTCAAATATTTAACAATAGGGTTTGGCGGGTAACTTATACAAATCGGTCCAGTGAGCCTTGCATTTCTTTAAAATGTTATCTCAGAACACTATCTTTTGTATAATTAATTACAGATCAGTAGCRATAAATACAACTGAATAAAAACATCTAAACGGCCTCACCTCCCTTTAATTATATGGTAAATTAGCCAGGCTAGCCTCTCTGCTAGCATCCCTGCTGCTAGCTTAGCATCGCTTCATTACTCGGCGGATGATGGCAGAAAGGCATCTACCAGGWGGCTCCGGGCCGAGCTCGGGCCTCRTGCTCCCGCCCCAGCCTCGACCTCGGTCCGCCGGTGAAATCAAACCATAAAACCTATCCGGTCCACACCACCACCGAGCGGCCACGCGTGTCTGTTTCACTTGATACACACACGGGAGGTAAACAGAAACACGTTGGTTTTGTGCGCTCTGCACCAAACCTGGTGCCGTGTGCACAAAGACGGAAATACCCGGAAACCGCGCCGCTGCCGCCGCCGTGCGGAGCGGACCGGAGCGGAGCTGCTGAGTCTCCAGCCGGTCACCAGACATCACAAACGGGGGGTTAAAACATTTAAAATGGGACTCACGGTGGAACTGAAGACTGTGTTTTATGTTTGTCGGTGTTTTCTGGTCCTTCGCACTGCGGCTCCGTGTCTCTTCTGTCCGTCTGGATTCACCGCAGAATGGATGAGCTGTGGTGCCTTCATGGACTTCCTGGAAATCTGAGCTTCCTACACATCACACTGCGGTGAAGGAGGGACGAGAAAGAATCAGGAGGAACTGCTTACGAGTTTACTTCAAGGAAGATTGTAGGGACCGGTTTTTAAAAATGTAAATATGTTCCTGGATGGCATGTTGGCTGAAATAAACAATAAAAAACACAAAAATAATCACCTATATTATTTCCTTGATGGTGGATGAGTCCCTTAATGCAACATCTGATTCAGAAGATTAAAATAATGAGTACTAATAAATAGGGATTTTTTATTAATTAATTAATTGCTAATTAAAAAGACATACGAAATAAACATTTTAAATTTTAAACCGGATGATTTTAAAATTGCTGGGTCTTTTTATCATCTCACAGCAACGTTTAACTCTGAAGTTTTCATCTTTAAAACTGTGACATCAGACAGAGTTTTGTCTTGTAATAAAATGAGCTTTCCAAACAGAACAAATGATTTGTCATAAAAAAACTGTTTTTGTGTCTTAAAACGCTGAGCAGACTTTATACTTCTGATTCCGTAAAAGAAGCCTGAACGCATCACTAGTTGTGGAGAAGGAGCACCTGAACGCACCACAGCTCTGTGTATTTTTGTGCTTTTGATGAAGAGAAAAAGGGGATCAGCTGGAAAAAGCTTCACGCTCAGATGAATCAACATCTTTTGGAGCTGATCCCAGATGGACCTCAGCATCTGCAAACAAACACCACCCTCAGCTCAAACGTTCAGGGACCCCCCTCTGACTAAAACCCAACCTCAGCTTTTCCACAAACAAAACAAAAAGTCAACAGAAAAAAGCCCTCGTTCGTGTCAGGAGCTCCAGTTAAAACATTACTCCTGAACGAGACTCAGATTCTCACATTTCCTCCTCTGTTCAGAGCTGATGTGCACCAACTGCACTTATTAAACAGCAGAAACTCAAACATCAGTTCAGCTGCTGCAGATTTAAACCCAGAATCAACATTTTTATTAAAAACACAGAAGCTTTAAATGATTTATTTGAGTTTTATTTCTTCATTGTGTCAAACTGTTTGAAGAAACGGTTGAACCTGCAGGGTTTTACTGTAATCTGTGAGTAAACACAGAGTTAAAGCTCTTCACCAGCTCCTCTTCCTCTGCTTCAATATTAGCTTCAGCTTCAGCTGCTGCAGGGTGTGTTGCTGTTTTTACTCCCTGAAAAGAAACAACTCTGAAGGATGCTCACACACCGAGGTCAGCAGGCCCACAGCTTCTTCTTCAGCTGAGAAATAACTGCAAGTCTTTCAGTTTGAAGGTTTAGGTTTAACACAAGGACAAAATAAAGCCTTCTCCTCCACATGGCTCAAATTAAAAAATATCTTTAGTTTCTGTTCAGATAAATCATTAAGCTCTTCCTTTAAAACCCTTTGTTCAACTCAAACTCAGGTTCACCACTTCCTGTCTGCCTAAAACCACTTCCTGTTTCTGAAGTCCAAAAAAAGCCTGCAGTTTTATTCAAACTGTGAGCAAAGTTTGCCTCAGTTTGTGTCAGAGCTGACAGAAAGATCTGCAGGACCAGAACCAGGACCAGAACCACCTAACTCTGACCTCAGACTCAGAAAGAAAAGAGCTCCTGAACTCAACACATTTATGTCGACACAAAACAGTTTGCTCTTATTTCTTTAGAAACACTAAAGATGTTAAAACAAACAAAAAAAAGCTGTTTACCTCTGACAAGGTGATTCCTAACATTAGGACTGGAACTGAGAGGAAAAACTGCTAAAAGTCCCAAGAAAGACCTTCAGGAGGTGCAGAACTGCTGATCCAGACCAATTTAAAGGTCTGTCTGCTTGGAAAGAAAACCAATAGAAACGAGGACTGGATCAAGACTTTTACACAGACCTGCACACGTCAACATAAAAAACATAAACACATTTRTTTTGTTTAGAAGCTTTGACACGTCTGCAGTTTGTAGGTTACACTTTTRTTCAAACTCGACAGATCCAGCAGGGGGCGCTGAAGAGAAATCAGTTAATTTATTAAMTAAGATTTAATGAATTTACTGCAGGAGGGTGAAAACATGAGAAACTTCAGGTAAAAATACTTAAATATRTATATTTTCACACTGAAACCGATTAATAATGAATCAATAAATGAGTTTGAAAAGATGAATTAGATCATTAACCTTACCTGTGATCTGTTAGTTGCTCTGAATTTCCACCAGGGGGCGACTGTTAGCAGCTGTTTAAAGATGAGCTCTGACCTGATGCATGTTTATTTCAGTTTTCTCGTTTTGTCAGGTCTTACATTAATCTTAGATACATTTATTTTTTAATTAATGTTATTTTAATTTTCAGMTCACTGAGCTCAGATATTAAACTTCTGTCGACTCGTCTGCTTCAAAACAAACCGATCTGTCAAAATAAAGCTTTTAAATCAGAAGAAAAACTTTTCTGTAAAAAAAACAGCTGGGATGAATTTAACCTTCTGAGAGAAAACAGAGAGAATAAAGAGAAACTGATCCTGATCCAGGTCCGGTCCAGGTCCAGGTCCAGGTCCAGGTCCAGATCCAGGTCCAGGTGGACCTCTCAATCCAGATAAAACCAGGTGTTTTTAACAGGTTGAACGGGAAACTTGTCTGACAGGAAGTGATGAAACATCAGTTCCTGGAGTCTTTTTCATCCGTTTGTTTTAAACTCAGCAGAGAAAAAACAGTTTTTATTTAATCAAAGAGATGAGAACCAGGTTTGTCCCACATCTGGTTCTGAGATTATAAATATTGATGAAGAACATCAGCTTCAGTCGATATCATCGAGTCTGGAGGTTCCTTCAGCCCAGAACCAGGATCAGAATCCAGAACCAGGATCAGAATCCAGAACCAGGATCAGAATCCAGAACCAGGATCAGAATCCAGAACCAGGATCAGAATCCAGAACCAGGATCA